GGCGAAGTGACTGTTCATATCCTTTGCCCATTTTTTAATTGGGTTATTTGTCTTTTTGTTGTTGAAGTTTTTCAGTATCTTGTAGATTTTAGAGATTAGACACTGATCAGATTTGTCATAGCCAAAATTTTTTTCCCAGTCTGTAGGTTGTCTTTTTACTCTTTTGGTGAAGTCTTTTGATGAGCATAGGTGTTTGCTTTTTAGGAGCTCTCGGTTACCTAGTTTCTCTTCTGGTGCTTGTGCATTGTTATTTATGGTTCGCATTGTGTTTATGCCATGTATTAGGGCTCCTTGCATTGTCCCTATTTTTTTTTCCGTAATCTTTATCATTTTCAATTTTATGTTTAAGTCTTTGATCCATTTTGAGTTAGTTTTTGTGCGTGGTGTGAGGTATGGGTCTTGTTTCAGTTTTTTGCAGATGGATATCCAGTTATGCCAGCACCATTTGTTAAAGAGACTGTCTTTTCCCCAGTTAACAGACTTTGGGCCTTTGTCAAATATCAGCTGCTCATAGGTGGATGAGTTTATGTCTGGATTCTCAATTCTGTTCCATTGGTCTGTATATCTGTTGTTGTACCAGTACCGGACTGTTTTGACTACTGTGGCAGTATAATAGGTTCTAAAATTAGGTAGTGTGAGACTTCCCACTTTGTTCTTCTTCTTGAGTAACGCTTTACTTATTCGGGGCCTCTTCCCTTTCCATATGAAGTTGGTAATTTGTTTCTCCATCTCATTAAAAAATGCTGGTGGAATTTGGATCTGGATTGCATTGTATCTGTAGATCGTTTTGGGTAGAATTGACATTTTCACTATGTTGAGTCTGCCTATCTATGAGCAAGGTATGTTTTTCCACTTACGCAGATCTCTTTTGGTTTCTTGCAGTAGTGTCTTGTAGTTTTCATTGTATAGATCTTTTACATCTCTGGTTAGATTTATTCCTAAGTATTTTATCTTCTTGGGGGCTATTATAAATGGTATTGATTTGGTGATTTCCTCTTCGAGGTTCTCTTTGTTGGTGTAAAGGAATCCAACTGATTTTTGTATGTTTATCTTGTATCCTGAAACTTTCCTGAAATCTTCTGTTAGTTCCAGTAGTTTTCTTGTGGATTCTTTGGGGTTTTCTGTGTATAAGATCATATCATCTGCAAATAGAGATACATTGACTTCTTCCCTACCAATTTGGATGCCCTTTATTTCTTTTTCTAGCCTAATTGCTCTGGCTAGGACCTCCAGCACAATGTTGAATAAGAGTGGTGATAGAGGGCATCGTTGTCTGGTTCCTGTTCTCAAGGAGAGTGCTTTCAAAGTCTCTCCATTTAGGATGATGTTGACTGTTGGCTTTGTATAAATGCTCTTAATTATATTGAGGAGTTTCCCTTCTATTCCTATTTTGTTGAGAGTTTTTATCATGAATGTGTGTTGGACTTTGTCGAATGCCTTTCCTGCATCGATTAATAAGATCATATGGTTCTTGTCTTTTGTTTTATTCCAGGGGGTTTTCAGTGGCTGATTTTTCAAAAGTAGATCACCAGGCATCTCTTCCTTGGCACCTTTGGGTGGACTCAAACCTCCAACCTTTCAGTTAGCAGGTGAGCGCGTTAACCATTTGCACCACCTAGGGACTCCATTCATTATTAGTATGTATTTAAAGTACTTTACATACAGATTTATCGACCTTTGACTATGCAGAGATCATTGTTTCTAATGCTGAAGGAAGATTTTTCAGTTCATATGAACAGTGCTTTGAAATAAGTGAGAGTCCCTGGGTGGGGCAAGTGGTCAACATGCCCAGCTGTTCACTGAAAGGCTGGAGGTTTGAGTCCACCAGACGTGCTTTGGAAGAAAGGCCTGATGATCCAGTTCTGAAAAATCAGCCACGAGAATCCCCATGGAGCCTAGCTCAGCTTTAACACACTGGCTCGCCGTCAGCTGGCATTGGCTCAACGGCAGTTGATGGTAATGAATGCTGCTATCGTGTGTATGGTTTATATGCTGCGTTTGTGTTATAGTTTAATTTCTCAAAGAATATACTTACGTTTCTGTTTTTCAAATTTACCTTAGAGTGTGATCATTAGCAGTATGTTTATATGTGATTAAACAATAAGCATAAATGACAATATGGGATCTTAGGGATAGTTTCAAGCTGATATAAACAGGTGATGGAGAATATAAATTTTGTTTACATGGTAAAATTACTATTATTTTTTGAAAAAACTGTACAGCAGTGGACTAGAAGGGAATACAGCAAAGGGACAACAGCATTATGCTAGTTTAGTGGGATTGTGAGTCATTTGTTCCATTTCCTAAATATTCTATAATAAATGCTATAGTAAAATGGCAATTAAAAAGTAAAGGTAAAGGTGGATGCATTGTACACATTGTATAATGAGACTGAGAAGTATGTGACAGTAGCTTCCAGCACATGGGATGATAGAAGCAGTGCTGCAGGTATTTGAAATACCAGCAGGGTCATCCATGGTGGACGGGTTTCAGCAGAGCTTCCAGGCAGACTAGGGAGGAAGGCCTGGTGATCTTCTTCTGAAAATCAGCCAGTGAACCATACGGAGCACGACAGAACATCGCGCAGTGTGGTGCTGGAAGGTGAACCTCCTCGACTGGAAGGCACTACAGAACAGCGACAACGGTGGACTCAGACATACCGATGACCGCGACGACAGCGCAGGACTGGGCAGCGTTTCCTTCTACTATATACAGGGTCATCATTAGTGGGGACCGACTAGTCGGCAACTGACAGCAGTTTGTAGCTGGTAAACGTGGCTGTGGTACAATTGAAAGAGTTGCGGAGTTGAAGGCCGATGTGTGAGTTTGAATTCTCAGGTTGAGTTTCTTCTAGCTCTGTGGCTTAGGTCAACTAACAACTTTTCTGAGGCTCAATTTCCTCATGAGTGTAATAGAGATCATAAATCCTACTTAATTACACCCTGGTGGCATAGTGGTTAAGAGCTACGGCTGCTAACGAAAAGGTCAGTGGTTGGAATCCACCAGGCGCTTCTTGGAAGCCGTATGGGGCAGTTCTACTCTGTCCTGTAGGGTCGCTGTGAGTCAGAATCGACTCGATGGCAGTAGGTTTGCGGTTTTTACTTACTTACAATGCTAATGTCATAATTAAACAGGAAAGTATATATGAAAATGGTTGTTACACTGTAAGACTTCCATAAATGCTAAGAGAGATGCTGTAAGTATGAACACATAAGCCGGTATTTACATATGTACACTTAAACTCGAATACAGTGAATCTATTTGAAATTTATCTTTATGTAGATTAAAATGAGAAATGGTGTGTGTGTGTGTGTTTAAGGGAGTATGTGAAACTGAAATTCTTGTGGTCTGTCATTAGCTAGACCGTAAAGATGATCATTTTCCTAACGAAAGAGTGAGTCATTGAATTTTAGAGTTGAATGACGCTTTAAGGATTATCTAGGCAGGTCATCCTCTAAGTTTACAATGAAGCATGGAAACTCAAGCATATTGAGTGACTTAGCTTAGCCTCCCAGAGTTGGGAACTAAAATCCTGATCTGTAGGACCTCTTACCTAACGTATGCCAATGTATTTTGTGGAGTTCTAAGAGGAGAGTATGATATTCAGCATTTCCCAAGCTGATTTGACCTTGAAACCCGTTTGTTCTTAGAGTACTTGTTCAAGTTTTGCCAGGCACAAGTGTTCCACAGAGAATTGGAAAATAGTACTTTAAAACTGTATTTGAACTGTTGGCATATTTTAAAATAAATTGTGAGACTAAGTTCTGATTGTTGATGTAAACCATTTAATCTTTAATATTCTAAAGAATTCGTAAAATCTTTTTGTGCTGGGGAACGAGAATAGTGAGGTTTGATAGGAGAAGTTAGGGAAGACTTTCTTAGGGGAATATCAGAATCTGAGGAGAGGGAGGGTGGACTTTTCATAACTTCCCTTTGCCCCTTGCACTCTCCTTCCCCTTGAAAAGTTCTGGAATGAGTGTTGTTTCTGATGGCCTTGGAGACACACAAATAATGAGAACTAATATAAAAGGCAAAAAGGCCAGCTCCTAAGGTCATTGGTGTCTTGGCTGTGAAGAGCTGGAAACATTGCTTGGGTAGGGGTACATTTGCAGACCTTAAGCAAAGATTGGAAGGAAGCTCAACAGGAGGAAGACAGATATAAAAGGGAGAGAGGCAATGATAAGAGAAAGGAAGAAACATTTTTTAGTGGGAAATAGAGTGAAAACAAAACACCACATAGATCGCCACTCAGCCGTGTTCTAGATGAACTACCACTTGTCTTCACTAAATGATTTGCTGCTGCCTTAGGTCGATTGGGAACCAGAATTTAGAAGTTCCTTTCCATCTGTTGTTAAATTTAAGGCTTAAGCCTACTTCTGCCATTATGTAGTCATATATGTAAGGTTATGATTCACTTTATTGGTGTAATTCACCACTTCTTTTTCTATCTATACAGAAGTTGAACCCACAAAGTGCCTAAAACTGTCATTAGATTGGATCTCCAATCTTTCATTTGATCCCTTAATTGCTGATGGCAGCCAGTTGTTAGATTTGTAAGAGTGGAACAGAATAAATGTTTTCCTACTTTTTCATGGTGAATTTCATCTAAAGAGCAGATATAATAAATGTTCAGCTGGGATGTAAAATTAAATCATTTTTATTTGTATGTTGTATATTAAATAAAGCCAGTAACTAAAGTATATTTGCATATTGTACATTAAGTAATGCCACTATTACAAACCATAAAGTGTTTTGTTTAGAATGTTCCTTTTTATAATGGTGTATAATTTCATAAGCTCTTGTGAGTAACCGCCTTAGATATTCAGATTTATTTGCTCAGTTTGCTTATGACTTGGAAATTCTGTATGTGTTTTTTGCATTCTGACTACAAAACAGTCCCTCAAATAGTCTGAAAAGCTGAAATAAATAATTTATTCTATTTTTATACTAATGAATACGTCGAATAATAGTAATCCGATGTTTGTTTGTTAATTTTTTAGTGGTGGAAAGGACAGCTGTTATAATATGATGCAGTGCCTTGCTGCTGGGCATCAGATTGTTGCTTTAGCAAATCTAAGACCAGCTGAAAATCAAGGTAGGTTCATGCCATTAGTGGAGAATTCTCTAAATGACTTAAACTCCAACTTTATAATTGTGTGGATATTGTATACTGTATATAAACGCCAAAAAAAAACAAAAAAAAGGGAACTAACATATTTAGTGGAGCCCAGGTGGTGCGACGGTTAAGAGCTCAGCTGCTAACCAAAAGACTGGCAGTTCAAATCCACCAGCCACTCCTTGGAAACCCTATGGAGCAGTTCTGCTCTGTCCTGTAGGGTCGCTATGAGTTGGAATCAACTTGACGGCAGTGGGTAGATGCTAGGTTCTATGAGGTGTTTTCGTTTATATACCCTTTAGTCCTTATAACAGCCCTTAGAGAGAAACATCGCTAATCTTCCTTTTTATAGACAGGGGTTCTGAGACTCTGAGAGTTTAATAAGTTTGTCCGAGTCAGATAGCGAGAACAAACTTGCAGAGCTGAGACTCAGACTTTAACTGTTATAAAAGGAGAAAGCAGAATCTCCTTTCAGGTTCACATTCTGTGAGCGAAAGAAAGAAATCCCTTTACTCCTTGTGACTCGTCAGGCAAGCGTGTCTTTAAGGCTTCTGTCATGAGAGGTCTTAGTATTTAAAAAGCAGATGTTTTTATGATATATAATACACATCTAATATAATATAAGCATACTTTCCCTTCTTAGAGTTTCTATCCTGTCTTCAGCTGTTAGAACGTGAATTATTATGGTTACCTTGTACACTAATATATAATCTCCCCTGTGCTCATGGTTCCTTGGCCAAGTGGGTAAAATGACAAGTAAAGTGTATCTTTAAATTCTACCTCACAGTAGAACGGAGACATTTATTTAGAGTATTGTTAGTGAGAAAAAATTCCGTAGTAAATGGAATTAGAATATTATCAAGAAAAAAGCTGGAAAAAAATCTTTTGAAAGTATAGTTATAGTAGAAGAGACTAGATGGCTGTGGGTTGGTAAATGGAGAGGGTTTAGCTAATTTTGATTTAAAGTCAGCAGGAAGTTCGTGTTTATTAATGATTAATTGATTAGTAAAGGGAACCGTGATGAGAAATGATTGATAGAGATAACTCCAGTGTAGAGCAGAGTGGGTTAGAGTAAACTCACGGCACTGGGTTTTCAGTGCATCGTCTGGCAAGGAGTTTATCCCCATCTCTGGGAATAATGTGAACTTGTCATAAAATTCATAAACCATCTCTTTAAATTTGTAGTAGGAACTTTTGTGGCATGTTAACTGAGGTGCTTCAGGCAACAGCGGGGGTCTTTTGTTTTTATTTGATTTCATACATTGTTGCCTTGGAGCTTCCATTAATAAAAGTTACATTGTGGTTAAGATTAAATGGAGCTTTAAAGGAAAACTGTCTCCTAAGTTTTGAAGCCAGTAAAATGTTATAATTATTAGGCTCACGTCAGGACATTTCTTGTTAAGAAGCTCGAAGCTCTTTGAATATATTGATTTGATTGTGTCATTTTAAGATTCAGTCTACTTTGAGATGAGGAAAGGCTGAAAGGATTTTAGGTAATTTTGGCTATATCTCTACTTCCCACTGGAACAGGGGTAGACAGATTTATGGACATAACGTGAGTACATGGAAGCCAATCTGACGTGTAGGTTCAGAAACCTTGTGCGCGAGAGAGTGCTGGGAGACGGTGGTGTAGGTTGTTGAAGGGGCCATTATGTTATCATTTTATCATCTCTTTTGATAGGAATATTCACATTCATTGGAAAGCCTAGACCTGCTTGCCGTATATGCATGCATACATACATCTATTTCAAATATATTGTCTTGTAACTTTTTTTTCTTTTTTAACTCAATGTTATAATGTGAGCATTTTTCCATGTCGTTAAGTATTGTTTTGCGGTAGCATTTCTCACACGTCTGCTTTGGAACACAATTCCTAGGAAATGTACTGCGGAAAGAAAAAGTGGTGTGTGGACAGGGAAATTGGAGAGGTCATAGTCTCTTCCCTTCCTGGAGCATCTTAAATAGTATTACCTACTGTAGGAAGACCTGTAGAAAAGACACCTATTTAACATTGTTATCTCCATGTTTTATAAACTTATTTGACCACAGAATCCTTTCATCTCATACCTATTAGTATCTAAACGGATTTGTATTCTTTAGAACACACTTTAGAAAATGCTCTTCTTCAAAATTCTGTCAGTGTCTTCACAGTATTGTATAATGTGACTAAACTGTAATTTTAAAGCTATTAAGCTAATGCTATGATGAATATCTTTGTAAATAATCTTAATGTATATTCATGCTTTTATTTCTAAAAAGTGGAACTACCAGCTCAAAAAGTCTGGGGTACATTTCTAATCTGACATACATGGGGTCACCATGAGTCAGAATTGACTCAGCGGCCACCAGCAATAATAATATGTTTTGTTGAAGTACTGAATATAAAATATATTAAGTGCAGCTAAATTTTCTTCTTACAAATATTTGTCACTTATTAAATAAGTAGACATTGAATTAAGAAAGGTTCTTTCTACAAGTCTGGATGACTTCATGAATAACCTCGAATGCTCTGAGAATACATTTGTGTGTAATAAAGTGCTCAACTGCTTGCTGAAAGGTCGACGGTTTGAACCCACCCAGAGGCACTTCGGAAGACAGGCCTGGCGATCTGTTTCCGAAAGGTCACAACCTTGAAAACTCTGTGGAGCCAACTCTGCTCTGCACACATGGGGTCACCATGCGTCGGAATTGACTTGATGGCAGTTAACGACAACATCCATGAAGTCTTTAACTGAATAAATGAATCAAAATTTACTGGATACCTCTGCTCGTTAAATGTCCATTGTATACAGTTTTTAAAAAAATTATATGTAATTGTGTTAGTAATTAGCAGTAGAGATGAGCCGAGCTGATACGAACTGGATGCAACCATGGACAAATATGCAGCTCTTATATTTTATTTCACTACATCAATGCAGAAAGACATAGTATGATAAGCTTTTAAGTTCTGTGTTGACTGCTGTCCAAGCAGTAAAACCTAGATCAGCTTTCAAATCCACTTTCTTTTTCACTCCGTTTTACCGGTTATTTCCGTTTTAATTGTTGCAGTTGGATCCGATGAACTGGATAGCTACATGTACCAGACAGTGGGTCATCACGCCATTGACTTGTATGCAGAAGCCATGGGCCTTCCCCTGTATCGCCGAACCATACAAGGAAGGAGCATGAATACTGAACGAGTGTACACCAGATGTGAAGGGGATGAGGTGGAAGATCTCTATGAGCTTTTGAAACTTGTGAAGGTATGCAGAGTATCTAATTAGATCTTCTGAATTGCATGTGGGAAATAGAAAGTAATAAATCATTTCCAACTGTTAGTAGTCAAACTATTCTTTGAAAGGATATTTTGTTTATTTTTTGATAGAGAAGACTATTAGTATGCCTTTATTAAATGCTATGTAAAAATAAGACTTTTGGTATAGTTTGGCATTCAGTATTGTCAAATGATATTTAACTTTTTTTTCTTCAGGATGTTGGAGGTGATGGTCATTCAATCACTTTTCCAGCAAATACTTTATGAATGCCTGCTATGTGCTTGATGTATAGTTGTAGGCACTGGAGACTGGGCAGTGAACAGTTCAGAGGGAAGCTTCCTTTTTAGCGGGAGGAGGCAAACTAACAGCACAGGTAACATGGTTGGTGGTGCAGAATGTCAGCGAGGAAGAGTGAAGCAGAGGGAAGGTGACAGTCAGATGGCAGGGTGGCTGCGGGCTGGCGCTTCACGCAGTGGTCACGGAAAACCTTTCTGACAAGGAGCAGACCTAAAGAGAAGGAGAGACTGCACCCTGCTCACATCTTGGGGAAGGAGGGTGAATTAAATACTGAAGGCACTGGTGTGTTAGAGTTTGGCAGTCACTGTGCTCTCATTGCATATTTCTCCCGACGGAAAATTTAGGAGAGAAAGTGTGGCGCTCCTATATCTAATAGGTAATATACTCGGTAAATGCTCATTAATAGAGATGATTTGATGTTACGCAATTACCTTTTCATTCTCGCTGATAACAACTGTTAGAATACAGTTAAGTGGTCCTCTTCTTAAGTGTGAATTTTTATCCACTTAGCCACTGTCAATTCGTGGAAGAAGTATCTGATAAAATAGGGAATGTAAGCCAGTATTTTCCAGGAGTCTGAACATTTTTCATACAAGAAGGAAAATTTCTGCCTCTGCTTCTACCAAGTGATGTTACAGTTCATTTTCTTACTCTTAGTGAACTTGAGCCTTTTCAGAAGTTACATCCTGAACCTCTATCATGGAAATTTACTACTCCCAAAAATAGCTACTTCAGGGCACCACACTTTAAATTTAGTGCTGATCAAAGTTTAATATCAATTAAGGATTTTTATTCAAATAACATGTGAAGCATTTGAATTCTTTTAAATCTGCTTGATTAAAATATTTCGCATTTAGTGTGTCAGAACAGTTTTATTTTTTCTTTGTGCTTAAAAAACACTGATTGAGAAATCACCTTGAGCAGTTCTCTGATTTACCGTTTAGTTGTGGATAGTGGAGGAAGTAGGTGCTTGAAAGGATCACAGGGGTCTTGTTTCTTCTTCTGGGAGGATACATGCTAATAACAACTGTTTGGATTATCAGACAAAGGGGAGGAAGGCATGAGAGAATACAGCTTGTTAATAGTCTGTTCATAAGGATGCAGCGAAGACCTTGATAGTGTTCACTTTGATGCATGAAATACAGAGTGCAAATCCTGGGTTTTCAGTTTTCTTTTTCAGAGTACCGAGAAACTGGATATTCAGATTTTAACATACACCAGTGTTACAGATTGGTAGGATTTACACTAGAATTCCACTAGAAGTAATTGAGTTGCTTAAAAATCTCGAACTTGATAACTTTGGAGAAGCTCTGTGATAATAACAGCCTTCCAAGAAAGGGAAAGATAATAAATTAGTAATCAGTTTAATTAAAAATGGGCAGATTAGTAGTAATTAAGAAGAAATTTCCTTTTCAATCCATGCTGTCTTTGGAGAAATGGATGCTTTGCCATTATCTTTATAGTAACCGTCAGTTATGGCATAAATTAATGCTAATGTTAAATCTTGACAACTTCTGCTTTGGAAGTTCATACATGATAATTATAACTATAGTTGAAAGAGATGTTATCAAGTTGTCTGGGACTAAATAGGTCCTTCTTTTCCTTTGTAGAAATATTAATTTTACTATAGGATATTTTAAAGACATAAGTATCGGAAATATACTGCTTTTATGGAAGAAATTGTATAACCAGGCTTTTATAGTTACATTCATTTATGAAACACTGGTGCAAAGATTCCAATAGAGGACTTACATATTCTAATGAATAATTGAGTAATTATGGGAAAAAACATCGAGAAGAGCTATAATTCTTCAAGTTAGTCTCATTCGTTCTCAGAAAAAGATAGAACTGCGTTTTTTAAAATCCTTTGAATATTAATGGAGCATTGAAAGCATTTAGATTCATTTTCTTTTTAAACATTTATTTATAACAGGTTGCAGTTTTGTGACTTACACATAAGTCAGAATCTTTTGTTTTTGTAACTTTTTTTCTTCAAATATTAGAGCTAATTTTTGAGTAAGAGTGTTCCTTTTTGCAAATAATTTACTAATTAGTAAAAAAATAGGAAAGACTTGGAAGAACTTACAGAGTTACAAATCTGGTATCTTGTAGAAGTCATGATAACTAATAGAAATATAATAACCCTGTATGTCTCATAGGTTACTGGCTACTATGAAAACTAGAAGGACATATCTCATGCTATTTGCAAAATATCTAGTTTTCGTGTAACCAGTCTTTCTTTTTTTCTTTAGATTTCTTTAGTATTAAATTGTCACTTTAGTTCTCATCTGGATTAATTTGGCATATAGATAACCTGTATTATTTCCTGAAAATATTCAAATTCTTACATTTTTTTAAGTCACATGAGCAATATAATATTTACTGAAACGTACATAAAGGCACTGTATCTCTATATAAAATCTATTTAAGGATCAGCATATTCTTTCATTCTCTACTGGGTTGGAGCTATTGCTTAGTGTATCTGAAGTCTTCCCCTTTTCTTTACTCACCCATCTCAGTGGAGTCCATCTTTAAGAAACTTCCTTAGAGAGGGTACTTTCAAATCCTCACATTTTGAAAATATTTGTATTCTGTCCACATTTGGTTGATACATTGGTTGGATTTAAAATTTTAGGTTGAAAGTCATTTTTTCTCAAATCATTGAAGGCATTATTACTTTATGGTCCTTGCATTTTATTGATGAAAAGTTTGATTCTAATGCAACTTTTGTTCCTTTATTAGAAAGTGACTGAAACTTTCCTCTCTACATATTTTTTCTGATTGTATCCTTACTTGGGTACTGAAATGTTATAGGAATGTTGCACTGAACATTGTGAGTTGCTTCCTCTGAATGCCTTCCAAGCTCCCTACTGAGTAGCAGCATATTCCTGTCCTCTTTGCCTCATTGATGGTTCAGAGACTAGCATGTAATGCAGGTGAAAGCCAGTCACAACATAGCATTCCCCTGGCCACAGTGATTGGAGGAGAGGTGGTTATCTTAACTTACGTTGGTCCAGATAGAATGAAGCCTAGGATGATGGGTGATTGGCAGAAGATAAGCTCTTTCTCCCTCTGTACAGAGGGATGTAAATGATTATCTTCTCCCTCATTAATGGAGAACCTTAGAACTCTGTCACTAGTGTCTTATTCTCTACAACCTTTTGAGTTATTGTCATAATACCCACTGAATCTCTCCTTATATGAGGTTGTGCTCCCAAAATCTCCAGACTAAACCTGTCTTCTGAGCTCCACCTAGCCAACCTAGCCTAACCTTTTCACCCCTTCTACTCTTTGCTCCTGCTTTTTCTCTCTTCCTTCCTCTCCTTTCCTTCTTCCCTTTCTTCCTATCTTCTTTTAAAAATAGTTGGCCATTGAGACCACAGCAGTGATGATACCTGTATATTAAGTTGCTTGTTATTTCTCCACCTTAATATCCTACCAAACCAGAAAAACCACACCCGTTGCTGTTGAGTCAATCCGACTCAGCGACCCTATTGGACAGGTGTTTGTGACTTTTCTTTTTTTCTATGTTACCATTATTTTCTAAGAAACTTTTCTTAGATGCCTCCCTCTAAAGTTGTGTTGCTTAAGAGGCTAGATATATGTTTTTATCCTATAGTTTTTGACCTTATTTCTAGACCTGTAGTTTACCTTGTCTTTGCTATATTTTTTACTAAATGACCAAGAGAGAGCATGTTACCAAGATTGGCAGATGTGACTTAATGTATTCCTTTATTGTCAGCCTTACACATTTTTTTTTTTTGAGCACAGGACTTTGTGGGTGCTCACACAAAACACAAGTGCTCACACAACACAGTACCAATGTGATAGATATTGAACTGATCTCTGTACATCAACTTTCCCTTTTAAATTGGGTGCAATCATCAATCAGTAGATTTGTAATGTGTAAATCATAAAATAGCCACAAAAAGCAATGATATTAGCAATAAATATTTAGATGATTTTTTTTAATTGACAAGAGATGATTTTATAGTTTATTCTGTGATGTACTAAAAGTGAGAAAAAATTGAGTGAATAAAAAAGGTGTCTTAGTTGACCTTGACTTTTCCTATTAACTTTAACCACACTGCTGCCATTTAGAGACTTTCCTTTCTTCTTTCATGTATCAAACACTTATTGAACACTTGTAATATACCAGTACTGTAGAGTAAAAGGAAGTATGAAAACACAGTCAATGCTGTTATGGATCCTGAGGAGACGAGATGCGTACATGAAGAAGCTGAGGTGGGGAGGAGCAGTTACCATCAGAGCACACAGTTAGAAGGTTGTGGGATTTCAGGAGGAAAGTGACCCCTTGTGTTGGGGGATCAGGAGAGGCCTTCTGGGGGAAATTACATTTTATATCATTCTTGAAGGTTGGTTAGATTTTGACAGAGGTAGAATGGCTAAGGAATTGCCAATTAAAGACAGAGCTTAACAAAGTCATGGAAACAGGAAATCATCGATGCATTAGGGAAATAGTGAACAGTTCAATTTGGCTAGAACTTAGAGTTTCAGGAATAGTGGGAAATATATCTGGAAACGTTGATTGATGCCAGAAAAGAGTGTTGTAAGTTTTAGGCAATGGAGAGCCCCTAAAGTGGAATCTTCCAACCTCAATTTAATGGGTCACAACCAGTTTTTGGTTTTTTTTTTTAAATGAAAGAGACTAGAATAGGAAAATTTCAAAG